AGAAGAACGAATAGAACGAGAGCAAGCATTGGAAAGAGAAAAAAGAGAGAGGGAGAAAAAAGAGCAGGCTGAGAGAGAGGCAGCTCTGGAACGGGAGAGGATGGAGAAAGAGCGAGCTGAGAAAGAAAGGAAAGAACAGATTGAAAGAGAAAAGGCCTTAGAGTTGGAGAAACTAGAAAGAGCTCAGGCCCTGGAGAAGGAGAAGGCCTTGGCGCAAGAACGTGCTCTGGGACAGGAACAATTGGAAAAGCAGATGGTAGAGGAGCAAAAGAAGAAGGCACTGCATCAAGAAAAAGAGAGAGATGCTAACCTTCTTCCTCCAAGTGGTGGCAGTGCGCCAGAGCAAGAAAATGCCCATGCCCCGGTGGCCCAGAGTGAATCCCAGCCCTCAGACTCTGGTTCCACACCTCTTTCTCCGCAATCATCGTCTAAGAAGTTTCGCTTCCTGAGGGACTCCCCAGCTCGTCCTCAGTCCGGTTCTATTGTCATCAAGCGGCCCCGTACATTTTCTGACACCCCCCAGTCTCGGGCATCCCCCGTCACTTCACCGACTAGCATTGGGGGTCAAAGACCAGGAGGAACCCTGACCTCCACCAACCAGGAAGACGCACAGATTCAGTCCAAGCAGGATGTTGGCGCCGTGTCTGTAGGCTCTACAGGGACTGGTTCCGACGGACTGAACGCCAACCGCACTGCAGCCCACCCGGGTTCCAGAGAAGAAACATCCACGGCGGAGGCTACATTGCCAAAGACTGAAGAGTCTGTTGAGGGCAAGGATGAAAGGAAAGACTCTTCAATTTCTGAGGATAAAAGTGGCAGAGAGGCAAAGAAAGAAGAGAAAAAAGCACGACGAAGATCATCGTCAAACGATTACTCTTCCTCAGATTCAGACTCTGGGTCTTCGTCTTCTCGATCATCCAGTTCATCCTCATCTTCTCAAGATAAAGCGGTCTCCACCTCCAGGATGAGACAGGTAAGCCCTACAACCTCCAATTTGTCCTTTTTGGACAGATAGATTATGTGTGAAATAAGAATCTACATATAGTTTGAATACTAAGCTATTGTGCATGACCCAGTGTTATATTCTCACAGTGTGGTGGAACTGTCTACAGGACCTTGGCAGCAACAACTGCTATCAAGCATTAGCAATGAGTGTTTCACATCGCTGTGCAGGGATTTAGACCTACTCTTCTTTGCAGACATGAACACTCAGAAATTCACCAGTGTTGTTTTAAACATGCCAGACGCATAGAGGGCAGCGTAGCGCAAAGCTAAAACCTGATGTCAGCCAATCCGATTGCTTCAAATTTACACACCTCTCATTGGCTTGTTGAGATGTTTTTCCCCGTGGATTGAGTTTATGACCGGCCTCTAGCTGAGGTCAGTGTGTTCTGCAGTTTCTAGGATGTTCTGGGTTCTTTTCTGAATGAACCTTTGGGGTGATTTAGGTAGGAAGGTTTGTTTCTTACCTCCATTTTTAGAAATGGTTTTGTAATACTTTTCCAACTGATGTAAATTTCAGTAGCCTTTTTCCTTCTAATGAATAAAATTAACATTTGAAATCAGCTTTCTTTTTTCCCCACTTAGTGTAGTTTAAAAATATATAAAAAGTCCAAATAATTTTTCACGTCATATACTTTTACAATAAGCATAAATAAGTATTTTGTCAATTCTATCTGAACTATTTTTTAACTCTTTTACTTTTTATTACAGGAGGGGAAACATGAAAGAGGCTCGTCACTGCAGGCAGCCGAGCCTCAGTCTGAGGATTCGAAGGAGAGCCCAAAGGCCTCCCATCCTGAAAAAGAGCTGCCTGTAGCCAGGATTAACACCGCAGATGGAGACGTTCACACTATGGTCAGCAGCATAATGAACCTTTATTTATTACACTTGCTTTTTAAAATAACTCTTTGTTATCCACCTGAGGGACTATTGTAAATATTATTTATTGTTCCTGCTGACTGGAACGTGATGTAATCTGTCTCTCTTTTCTCTTTGTCTTTTTTTCCATTTTTGCGTTTCTTTTTGTCTTTACCTTTTTGTCTTGTCTTTCTTTTGTCTTTTTCTCTTTTCCTTCTGCCCTGTCTGACTTTTTTCATTCTCTTTTGACCTTTTTTCTTTCCTCCTTCCTCTCTTTCTTTCTATTTGTCTTTCTTTTTGCCTTTTCCTTATGCTTGCTAAATGATATTTGCATCAAGTACTTTTTGCCCGTTTTTAAAAAACATTTTACGCGGTGAAAAACAAAAATACTTTTATCATTATTATTAATTTTATTTTATAGACAGAAACACTAATTATTTATTTCAATCTAATGCAGTTTATATACATGGCATCAGTTCATTTATTCATTATTTCAAGTCACTGTAAAAGGCAGTCAGATGCACTTCATGTCCGATGATTTTGAATTCAGTTCCTAATCTTTCCAAAGCGATCCAGGCAAATATTGTCAGACGTTCACTGAAATCCATCATAAGTGTGTTTCAAGTGTAAAATCCACGTTAGTAAAAATTAGACTCAGGAAACCAGCATCATTCAAAATAATTTTATTTATTTAATATAATTCATTTGTTGGCTCTTTAGCAATATATATTGAGCAGGCATATGAATATCATAACATGGTTTTAATTACAAATTTCTGATAATTATTGAGTTGGTAAGTAATAAAATTAATTAAATTGAGATAAGGGGTAGGATTAAATACGTGTTCACGTTTTCCTGCTTCTTCTCAAACATAAATTAGTGACAAGCTAATTATTTTGTTCTTGGATATGTACACACATGTCTTCTCTGTCTTACTGATTACTTGTTCTTTTAAAAAAAAACTTGTTTGAAATAAATAAATTAAATGGAAAAATACATATCAAAACCCTTTTAAAATATTCTTCATTTTATTAGTTTATTACCTGAAGAGATTGTTCTAAATCCTATCAGTGGTAAATTGTATTTATATTTTATTCTTTTATTAGTAAAACAAATTACAGAAAATTATGTTTTGTAAGGTAATGTTTTTTGTTTTTTGTAAAATTTATTAATTATAATTTGGGGTGAAATCTTTTATCTTTCCCATTTAGGAAGCTTCACTGTGAGCATGCAGTTTCATTTTTATAAATATATATTCTGCCTTTTCTAAATTACCAGAAGCAAACGGATGCAAACAGGAAGAGAAAACACAGCGAGATGGAAGAAGAGGAGGAGGAACAACAAAGGTCTGTTTAGCTGCTCTGGTTTTATCCGACATCGCCGCAGCTGTTCCCACGCTAAAAACGAGTTTTATCTGTGTCACCTTGATCCAGCTTCACTTTGCTGGATCAGACACAACTAGCAGAAGCACCTTATCATATCTTGCTTTAAAATATAATAGTCCAGCTTTCAAAATCCCCAACAGCCTCTTATCTGAATTTGACGCAGGCATTTTCGAGGTCCGCATAAGAATGAGTATCTGATCTGTATTTCTAACCTTTATGCAGGCAGGAGAAAGAGGCTTCCACGGCAGATCCAGAAAAGTCCTCAGAGTCCAGTGAGGAGGTAAGACACCAATGGATGGACGGCAAAACTGTCAACAAATAGACACATACCACTGTGAAACATTTTTTTTTTACAATTACATAAACAGATGTGTTTTGTGCTCAGTTTTATTGATCAGTTTATTCATTGGTTTAATTGCAGTGTTAAAATGGAAACTGTTTCTGAAACAAGAAGTTTTCTTACTTTGGTTGACATTCAGACTTCAGTTGATTGTCTAGATGACAAATAATCCCACAAAATTGAACTACAAAAGACAGAGGCTGTCTTATATTCATCAAGATGGCCTTCTGGAGCCATTAACTAGATCACAACTTTCAAAGAACATGACAGCAGCTTCTTGATGATCCCTGTTTCACCTTGCGCTGCTCTGTTTTTCCGATCAGTATGAGGAACACAAACATCTCAGATATTTTCTCTACAAACTGGAACTGTGGCAACTTCACAGGGATGCTTGGATTTTGTTTCATCTTTGAAACCACTAATAATGTTGTCTCTGGATTGTGTTTAGCTGGACTTTAATTGTTTTTGTTGTTGTTGGGTTTTTTTTTTTTTTTCCATTTAAACTGAAGAACAACTTGCTGCTTAATGTGTCTGCGGAGAACTGAACGTTTAAGTTGCAGATTTTGGTGACTGGTTCTGATCGTCATCCTTCCTGCTGTTGGTGACGCATCGGAAGGACTCATGAAAACACACATTTCAGGGCCCAGAACCTAGAAGACAGTCGCACTTGTGCTTCACACTCCAGTCCCAACGTCTCACCCCGCACTGATTGGACCCTGGTTGTCTAATTAGGCAACAAGGGTCCAGTTGTGATTGGGCCATTCCAGTAAACATCAGGTTGCAGTGACTCCAAGGAATAAGTAGATCTCCCTCAGTGTCGAAATTTGTAGTTAATTTGAATTTTGGTTGTAATGTTGGCCAGAGAATCGGCTGTGAAAAGGTTTTTCTTTAAGTTTATCTTTAAATTTTGATAACGTCTGCTGTCGTGGAAATATTCGGACTAGGGACATAAGTTAGCGATTAATGAGGTAATCTAAAATTGATTGATTTTATCAGAGGACCAACGATTAAATAATAAGCAAATATTCTCTTTAAAATCTGAGTGTTCTCTTGTATCAAGAAGTCTGACCATCTTCCCATAACAAAGGACTACACACACACACACACACACACACACACACACACACACATATATATATATATATATATATATATATATATATATAATAAATTTAAAAAAATTATTTATATATAAATAATAAATTTAAAAAAATCTACTCGGTATAAACAGAAAATTGGGGTTTTCTCACATTGTTAAACTTAAACACTAAAAAATATAAGACAGGAACCGTGAAACCCTTAATTACCAAAGAACAGAGAGATGTTCATACTGTGTTGTCTGTGGTTGCTCTTAAAGGAATATTAAAAAGTCGCTTCATGAAGTGGATTAACTCACGGCAGCCTTCAAAATCAGCCTTGCTTAATAATAGCATTTTTGTTTTTTACCCGTCATGTTACAATTTTATCCGTTCTGCCCTCACTCCCTGTCCGGTCGTATCATCGCCTTCGTAGCAAGTCGGACATTTTTGGTTGATAAGTTGACGCTGCTCCGTCATGCAGCTCGGCTGAATAAGCGGTGTTAAGGTTATAACTTAAGGAGTGTTTGTATTTGAAAACAGAACCGCATAAAATGCATTTTGCATCCGACACCGGACTCTGTTTTCTTCCTCGTCCTGGAATTGCCCCCACCGACATCTTTAGTCCTGTAATCAGCTGGCTCCTGTGGATCAGTGGGGCCCTCTGCTGGGTGGCGGTCAAATTAAAACACTGAAAGAAGGCACATGTGAAGCGGGCATTATTAGTTAATCGATTGGAACTCTTGTTAAATCGAATAAGCCATTGATCGACAATTAAGTTGATTAATTCTTTGCAACCCTAACTGGGTTAATGAATCGCTGGTGTTGTGATTGGACACTTTAGCTTTCTCAATTGAATTATTTAAAAGAAAAAGAAAAAACATATAGATATATATATATGTATGTGTGTATATATATGTATATATATATATGACAGATATCATGTGCAAGGAATTTGAAAACATCCTTGCAGAGCAGTTTGTCCTTGTCGTTTTTTAGTTCTTACTTTTACCCTCACACTTGCTGCTTTTTGTTTCCTCCAACCTGATCTTTGCCGCTGCTCTCCTTTTGTACTGCTTTCCCATGTAGTTTGTGTTGTTTTTTTTTTATATATATATATTGTTTTTGTTTTGTTTTCGTTTTTCAGACACCGAAGGCTTTCTCCGGACGCAAGATCTCCCTTGGCAGTGAGTACATTCCTGGACTTCTAAGCTCTCATTTCTGACACAGTAGAGAAACGAGGTTTAGTTTTGTGCTTCTTTCTTCCTAATAATTTTCATTGCTTGAATAATTTAAGTGTGTCATATAAAACAGTACAAACTCTGAACTACACATTCTACCTCAATGAAAGCATTGTTTATCTTTGGCGTCTTGCTTATATCTCTGTACACTTTGATGTACCAGGCAGCAAACAGTCTCCAGGCAACACAGAGGCCGAACACGAGTCGGGGGCTGTGGCAGGTCGCAAGAGGAGGTGGGGCTCCAGCACAGCCGTCACTGCCAAAAAACCTTCCATCAGCATCACCACTGAATCACTCAAGGTATTTGCAGTATTTTGCGTAAGGTTTTTCTATTAATAATAGTTTGCAGCCTTGCAAAAGTTGACACATTTTGTTATAATCTCAAACTTTATTGCATTTCATGTGACAAACTGGATGTAAATTAAATGTTTTTAAGCATTTAATTTGTGCAGGAAGGTAATTTGTCTTAGCATGATTTCTTTGGATTGTTTCAGTGTGATGAATATTTATTATTCCTGATGGCTCAGTGACTTATTGATGTAGGTAACTGAAATAAAGGTTGATACGTTAAGTAACATTATTTAAAAAAATTATTATTTTTTTAGTGTTTTGACCTGTTACCAGTCAGACATATAAGGTCTGTGTGAGAGAGAGAGATTTTTTTTTTTTTTGTTCCTTTGTAATGTTTTGATTTCCAAAGTGTGGTGCTGGAAAAGTTTCAAACTTACCTTGAAATTGCCTAACATTTACTGTTGTAAAAGTGTGCGAACCCTGTACTAGAATAATTAAACTTTATCAAATTTGCTGTTGTAAAAACTGCCTCTATACAAAAAACAACAAAAGACCAATAACTGTTCTTCCTCCTTTTCTTATCGTTAGTCCCTGATCCCAGACATCAGGCCGCCTGTCGGCCAGGAGGCTGTAGTGGATCTACATCCCGAGGAAGCCGCTCTGTCTGGCGCCGAGGATGAAGACCGGGAACGCTCCGACCAGGACCTTCAGATCCGACGCACCGTCACGCAGGTCATTCCGCAGCTCGTAACTTTTTAAAGACACGGTGACCAGGAACCAGTCCGTTCACGTCACGACGCTGACCTCTGCTCTCTGCTCCGTTTCCAGGTGGTGCCTGTCGAGAGCCAAGAGAACGGACAGAAAGAAGCGAAGAGAATGAGGCGGGATGACTTTGAGGAAGACGATTCTCAGGTAGAGGGGGAAAGCGTAGCGGCCCATGAGGAGCAGATGGACACGTCTCTCCCAGCAACTGTGGAAACCCAGTCGCCAACACTAGCAAGCCAAGATACTGAAACCAACACTGGTACAAGAAGAAAGCCGCGTCAAACACCTATCCAAAGCTAAAAAGATGAAACTGATGTTTTCCTTTTATTTGTTGACAAGATTAAACTCACAGTTCATAACATTTTTCCAGTGACACCCAGCGACACCCTCATCCGTCGCTCCATCAGCCAGCAGAAAACGGGCGTTTCCATCACCATTGACGACCCGGTTCGCACAGCCAGGCAGCCCTCACCGCCCCGAGGCCAAGTCTCCAGCATCGTTCACATCTGGAACCTGGTGAGAAAACGCTCCTGTCAGACTAAAGCTGCTATTCGCAGATTATTTTAGGAAGCAGATCCAAAGTAGATGAGGTTCGAATGGTTTGTTCCAGCAGGTGGTGATCACGGTCTGCTGTGTCAGCTGCCTGTTTGTGGAAAAATTAGCAGCTTTGAAAAGTGTGAAATTAGGTTATTTTCAACATTTGGACAAGAATGGGCGGAGAAAAAAAATTTACATTTTATTTTTTATTCTATCTTGTAAAAGAAAAAAAATTGAGTTTCTGAGAAATTAAATCATCATTCTATTTATACTTGGATGATGACCGTCGCTGGTTTGTCACGTCCCAATTTAAGATTTGACTGTTTTAACAGATTTAAATGAATGTAAAATATTATCTAAAAAAATATATTAACAGTTATAAATGATATTACACAATGATGACCTGAAACGGTTTTTTAGTTCATTTTTATTGTTTTTACCTCCAAAGATCAGTGCTGGATAACTTTGAAAACTTACCTTGAAAATGCTTGGAAAGTTCTCGAAGCCAGTAGAATAACGTTTTGGGACATTTAAAGTTTGAACGTCTATTGCGTAATGTCTTCATTTTTCGGTTATAAGCGTTCTGTAACGTTTTCTCCAGGTAAGGCCGTTCACACTCGGCCAGCTGAAGGAGCTGCTGAGCAGAACCGGCACTCTGGTGGAGGACGGATTCTGGATCGATAAAATCAAGTCCCACTGTTACGTCACTGTAAGTTTTTAACCCATATTTGTTTTCATCCTGCACATTTTGAGTCTGATTGTGGTTCCTGAAAGTTTTGTTTTTTGTTTTTTTTCCCCCTGAATCTTTCTCCGTAGTACTCGAGTGCCGAGGAGGCGGTCGCTACCCGGGCAGCTCTTCACGGAGTGAAATGGCCTCAGAGCAACCCAAAGGTTCTCAGAGTAGACTTCTGCCAGCAGGATGAGGTAAGAGTCGATTTAGTCGGTGTTTTGTGTTGCAGCGACTGAGTTTCCATTAATCAACTGGAATTCTGAAAATAAATTTGCTTGGTGGAAACAATTTTGAAAACCGTTTTGGCGCTAGGATCAAAATTGACCTATTTTCGCAAACCTGCAAAGGAAACATTTTTTCTTCGCGTCACGAGTCGTGATCAACAACCAGATGTTACTACTGGAAGTACAGATGAAGGAGACGACAGGAGGATGATGGCACTGCATAATTTTTTTTAATTTTTAGCACCAAACTTATTCACGTGTGGTTTTAGCTGCGCGTTTTATTCAACGGAAGCAGCGCAGTTTTGAAATTGTTGTGTGGTTTTTTTTTCACTGTTGGAAAAATATCGACAAAATCTTCCGCACATTCGTAACGGAAACGTGTCTCTCCGCTTCGTAGTTGGACTACCAGAAAAACTCCTCGGGAGCAGGCGACAGGCCTGGAGGAGGAGAGGACACGGGAGCCGCCGGCGCCGCCGCCCCGGGACGTGGACGGACGTCAGGCCTGCCGTCGCTTCTCCCCGAGCGGGACCAGTGGGCGGAGCGCGAGCGGGAGATGGAGCGCAGAGAGCGGGCGCGGGCGGAGCGAGAGTGGGACCGAGACAAAGTGAAGGAGTTTGGGAAACCCGGAGAGGAGAGGGAGGGCGGTGCGCGAAGGTCTCAGTCCAGAGAGAGACGGCGGAAGGAGAGGGGGAAGAGCAAGGAGAAGAAGACGGAAAAGAAAGGTGAGAGGAGGACGGCTCATGTTGGATCCTTTAACCTGTACACGGTGGGATCGATGATAAATTTTTGTTGACCTTCTGTCGTTTTCTCTCTCAAAATAGCCGAGGATCCTCCTGCAAAGCTGCTGGACGACTTGTTCCGCAAAACTAAAGCGGTTCCCTGCATTTACTGGCTGCCCCTCACAGAGGAGCAGGTGAGAGACGAACCACACGGCAACTTTTACGCTGATTTTAAACATTTTTGTTTTCTTTTTGTTGCCTTACGAACACAAACTTTAGTGTTTTATTATTTTTTATTTTAATGAACATAATTGTAAAGTTGAAGCTGTAAGATTTTTTTTAAAGCATTTTTTTAACATTTTTTTTTTTATTACAAAAATGTGAAAAGTGTGGCAATCTGATGTCCCAAAATAAAACTCGGTCAATTGTTTTCTTTCTTGAGCTGTTAAAACGTAATAAATCCACTGAGGAGGAACAAACTCTAAGTATATTCTAGTTTTTTAGAACATGAGAAATAAGACAAAACTAACTTACAAGTAACTTTTCAGCAAGATATGGGAGCTTTTTAAAGTAAATAATTCTTAAATATTGGATTTTGTAAAAAGTACTAGTTCCACGAGCAGATTTATAACAAGATATTTTTCCCATAAGTGAAATAATCTGCCAGTCAAACTAGTACTTTTTTGAAAAAATCAGTGCTAAGGCATTATTGATTTAAATTAAATTACTTGTAAGTTAATTTTGTCTTATTTCACATGTACTAAGATAATTTCTCTAGAAACTGGACTAAACATACATGGTAAGATTCTGTGTTTTTGCAGTGAAGTTAGTTTAATCTTTAGATTTGTTGCAAGACTCACAGATACTTGACTCGTTGAAGATACTTGGAAAATAAACATCCAATTTTTTTTCTCTTATTTTTCCATCTTTGCTTTTTTTTTTTTAGTGCTACTATTACATATTAGCTTATTAGAGGATACATTTCTCACACTGAACTTGTCCTTTAATAAAGGAGATTTTAGAACAAACTGTTCTGGACTTTTTCCAAAGCTTGTCAGTAAAAAATAAACAGTAACAGTGGGAGAGTTAATATTTTAAGGTGCATATTTATAATTCAACGTTTCTTGACTTCCCAAGTCACTTTACTGAGAAAAACGTATCTCATATGAAAAATTTTTTCCGTCTTGTTTTTTTTTTTTGTTCTTTCCTCAATTTAGTTTCTTCAGCGAGAAGCGGCTCGAGCGGAAGAGGTAAAGGAGCGCGAGGAGCGGCGGAAAGAGCGCGAGAAGAGGCGAAAAGAGGAAGTGGAGGAGGAGGAGAAGAAAAAGGAGGAAGAGCGCAAGGAGAGAACGAAAGCGGCGGGCACCTCCGCCGGAAACCGGAGCGAGGGTGAGAAGGACAAGAACCGAGAGCGGGAGAGGGACAGAGACCGAGGTCGAGACAGAGACCGGGACAGGGAGAGGGACAGAGACAGGGAGAGGGAGAACGACAAACGCAGGGACGGGTACCGTAGATCCGGGGGCGGCGGAGCGGGATCGAGCCGGCGCTCGCGCAGCCGGAGCGAACCGAGAGACAGGAGGCGCTGACGGGACTGCCATGTAGACCGCCGCTCCTGCATTTGCCTTTCACTACATGTACTTTGTTACAACAAAGACCCAACAGAGGACCAACTGATGTCATTTCCCCCCATCTCTCAAAAGCATCACTTTTTTTTTTTTCCTTTTTAAAGCACATCTAAGACCACTGTCATGCTTACGGAGACCGTGATGTTTTGCAGTGTTGTTTTCAATCCGATTGAGGTTTCAGATCATTTCCTTTATGCCTTCGCTGACGTTTTCTTTCAGTTTTTTGTCCTGATCACGTAGCAGAACGGCACACTGGACAATTTCAAACTACTACAAAGTCCACTTTTTCTTCAAAGTCTAGATGCTGATTATACTTTTTTCTTTTTTTTTTTTTTTCTTTTTTTAAAGCAGCAGTTGACTCCTCTGGGTTTCAGCATCCTGCAACTTGCTGAGGACTTCCTTTGTTGCTGCATGTAGTACAAAAGCTATTCTTTTTTTTTTTTTTGCCAGTTCTGCCTGAAGAGAAAATTTGTTGGCCTGCGCATTTGCTCGCAGAAATCGGAAAATATCAGAAAAATCCCTGTTTGGCATTTTGTACAGACTTAAAATATCTGCAAAATCAAGTCTTTAAATAAGGCAGCTCTGGATTATTTTTGACTTAGTGTAAAAAAAAACAACAAAAAAACTACTAAGACAATGCAGTGTTCCTGTTTCTTTGATAAGAGATGAGATCATTCTCTGTGGGAGAGAATCTGTCACGACTAACACGAGCTCGGATTATGTCCTCATTGAACCTCTTTCCCTCCTCCCATCCAGCTCTCCTGTCAATACAGGCCTGAGAGAGATCGCATTATATGTTCTCCCACCAATGGTTTTAATATTGTTTTTTTTTAATCGTTATCATTTTAGTACAAAGATTTCATTTTGTTTTTAATTCTTTAAGTACGCCTATCAGTGGTGAATGTACAAATAATAAAAAAAAAATTGAAGTTTGAAATTGTCTTTTTTTTGTTCGGAGTAGCTGAGGAATTTTTGTTCTTTTCCTTTTTTACAGATGAGGAATTTTTCATGTCAGATTTAGTTTTTTATATCACACATCAAACTGGTTTTCATATCAGACAAAGACAACCAGAGTAAGAAAACAGTTTTCCATTTAAGGTTTTATTCATTAAAAGTTACTTGAACCAACCTGGCCCTCTGTGAGGAAGTAAGACTAATAACTCGTCTTTTAGTTTTGGTAACCATAACCCATGGTAATCACTGGGAGTCAACTAAGCAAGTCTTGCCATAACAGCAATGTTTGGTAAAATAAGGTTGTTTTGGCATCAAATGCTTTAGCCGTTTCTAAATAAAGGTCCAATATAACAGTTTGTCTGCTTTGTTTCCCCATAAAATGTGATGTGATTTACTCACTGTTCTTGGAAAGACATGGGCCCATATTCTGAAAGATTCTCAGTACTCTTTGAGAGTTCATATCTTCTTCGCCTAAACATTTCTGCCTAGGAGTCCTAGCTTACTGCCGCCAAGTGGTGAGGAATCAGACATTGATTGTTCGTGTTTTTTAAATTCATTTGAAAAGTATAAATTAGTTGTAAATACGTTAATTAAAGGTCTTAAACTTAGTGGTGTCAGGACTATATAACTTCGTATATTTAATGTAGTTTATTGCCTCATGCGTTTACACTCTAGCCGTAGAACTGACGATCTATGTCAGACTTACTGACGTAGATGAGGAGTTTTTCATGTCAGATTTAGACCTTGAATGTAAACCAGTCTCGTGAAACGATAGGTGTAGAGCAAAATGTCACACCAAACGCGTTACCCACGTCAAAACGCGTCCGACGTTTCATGTTCGACACATGTGCACTTTGAATGCAGACGCTTGACACCAGTGGTGAGAAGTTGTACTTCGTTACTGTACTTAAGTACAATTTTCGTGTATCTGTACTTTACTTAAGTAGATTTAATAATGGATACTTTCTACTTTTGCTCCACTACATTTTACAGTAAGTATCTGTACTTTCTACTTCACTGTATCGCGTTACTCGTTACATCCATGTCGCATTGCCCTTTTTTTCCGTTAAAATGTGAAGTTCGGGGACTCAAAGTGGCGCCGTAAAATCCAAGCAATAACGTGACTTACGTGTCTGTTGTCACCCATCGCCTCCCCCTTCACTCGCCTGCGGAGCTCCAGACATGCGCAGTGGCTTCCTCTGAGCGGGAGAAGATGTCTGTCTAATCGTCAGTAATATGATAGCGTTGCATAAATCTTAGATATGGCGACATGTAAAATCAGCAGCGCTTCGCTTTCACGGGCGGTGGGGACTTCGTCCAACTTTTAGCGTCACTTGGAAGGAAAGCTTAAAGCAGTGGTTTCCAAACATTTTCTCATTTTAATTATCGGCTTTATCGTCTCTTCCTGCCTGTTGATGACACTTAAAGAAAAAAGGCTCAACTCCAGTGCTCTCCACTGATCCTCCCTTCCTATTCCCTTAGTGTAATGTCCAGCGCACACTAAAAGAGTTGTCGGCGGACTGTCAGCCCATTTTCAAAACCTGAGACCGCACATTAGCCGACAGAAATCCTAGGTATAACGGTTCAATCGGATTCGTCATGTCATGTGGTGTCCAGCCACATGGGCACAAAATAATGGCTACAAGTCCAGTTAACTAATTTTAAAATCGGGCATTAATCAATGCTTTACTAGAATCTACCTGTGATGCATGACTAGAGTCAGCGTAAAATCCTGACTGAATGAAAATAATTATAAAATATTTATGTCACCTTAACGAAGAACAGCTGAAAAGTTACAGAAAAACTAATCAGAATTGGTTCAGCTAAGTAAAAAATAGATACTTTACAAACTACAGGCGAAAATAGCAATATAAAGGATTTTATTATTATATATTATTTTTCCATGATGACAAGTGAGGCTCTGCCTCCCCTGACCGCACGTCACTGACCAAAAAGGTTGCAAGAAATAAAAAGAGACACAAAAACACACAAAGATACCCCAGTAATTTCTTGATGGAAAATTACCAACCATTGAATTTAGACTGGATTAAGAAAACTCTGTCATAATGATGAAACTATATTAAATTGAATAAATTTCCACACAGCATCAACATGCAGTGCCTAATGTTGGCACAGCTGCATCCATTTTAAGGCAGAATGCCGCTCCTTTCTGGCAGTCTGAAAACTGTTTTGTGAATAACTTAGCTTACTTCTAGGAAAAAATTTGAAATACCAGAAATTATAAGAATTTTCCTAAAATGACGTCACTAGTTACTACTTTCAGGACTCTTTGAGAATGCTGGCCCAGATCCTTTTGGAACCGCTTAAAGCATTGCTAGAAAATATATTTGCAGGTATGAACACACACCTCAACTGGACTAGATCCAAACTTTGGCTAGCCCAACTATGATCAATTGGTTTTTAATATCTTTCAGCATGACCTTGTTGTTGCACAGCTTCTGTTAAAGTGATTTTGTGGTTACACAAGTCAGGCAGTAACCAGGTCTGGTTGTGACCAGACCAGAACAAAAACTGTTAATCACATTCAAAACTTGAATTAAATAGAGATGTTTTTTTTTTTTTTTCTTTTTTGGCACGTAGGACCTGTTCAGTTTTGGGCAAGGTGTACCAGATATTATCCTGGGCTCCACAAGGGGTCAGTCATGCCACGTTGGCTCAGTCAGGACTTTTGGAATGACCTAAAATACGTATTACATCCACACACGTCTGACCATGAAACATAAAAACAAAACTGACACCAAAACTATGGCAGCAGCTAACGAGGCCTCTTTTCCTTCACGTCCACAAGAAAACAGAAATGACCAGCAGTTTTCGGTTTCACCTTTAATCTCCTCTTGTTTTCCTCCCACCTGAAAACATTTTAGTTTCATTGCACACCCACCATTTACTTTTTTTTCCCCTTCTCCTCCCTACATTTATCCTCTTCCCAATTTATTCGCCTCGGTCCATCTCTCTGTTCTTGACGTTTATCCTGCAGCGCTCAGCAGTGCTTCTATGTAATTACAGCCCTATGGTCGCTGAGCCTGACATTTTTCTGGCCTGATGCAACTGCAGCTCTGTGTCTGGACTGTGCGAAGACCTTCAGCACCAGTATCTATTGGCAGAGGGAGACTAAAACGTTTCTGGTGGGGCAACCAAAGCTTGGATTGAGAGAGCTCCAGAAAAAGAGGGGATAAAAATATTGTGGTTTTCAACCAGGCAGATTGGAGTTTGAGGCATTTTCGGTTTTCTGATCTCATATCTTTACTTAAGTTATGGAAAGTAGGTGAAAGGAACAAAAGACAAATATTTGAAAAAATGTTGGCCAATCTCATTTGATCCCTTGCAGCTCCTTTGTCCCTTAACCCTGTTTCTACAGGGGTAGGGTGTAGGGGGAGGTCAAAGGGTCACAACCTGCTTCACCTTTAAAACCAAGATTTTTCATTTATGCCAGAAGTCCCCAAACTTTTTCCTGCGAGGGCCACATAGCTGTTCCTTTCTGTGGTCGGGGGACGGTCTTAGTTTTTGCAGTAAAAAAAAAACAAAGAAATTCTTGTCGACGGGGGGGGGAGACGACGACACTTTTGGATAGATTTTTACACTTTTGGATAGATTTTTACCCAGAATGCAAATGGAAAAAACCGTGAGTGAAACGGTGACTGACGAGTATATATTCCATTGAGGGAAAGTAAGTTTCACATTTGCTCAAAAGCCCCCTGGTGGTTGAAGAAAAATCCACATATAAACCGGAAAATACAATATATGAAAAAAAACACTGAATGCTCTCTGGTATGAGCAGGCGGGCCGGATCCGGCATTGTTCAGGGGGCCGGACCAAATGACGTGGCGGGCCGGATCCGGGCCCCGGGCCGCAGTTTGGGGACCCCTGAATTATGCTCTTGGATGCAAAGTAGAAACTTTATATATGAAGACGCTTATAGTTTCATATTTTTAGTAACACCCTCTCTAAAGTCTAATGTGACATATATAATAATGTAACACCGCACATCACAGTGAGAGATGAGTATTTTGAATAATTTCACACAGCAATGTAATTAAAAGATTAAAAAATATATATATCTAAGCACCATTTCTCAATTTTAATTATTTTCCCTACATAGTAAGACATTGTCATCTAGTTTGATGTGCAGTGTGTTTTTAACTTGTCATATAGGCAACAGCTTATAAAACCCTTTTTTTGTTTATTTTTTCTTTCTTAAAGGGGCAGTGTTACATAAAATCAGCTTCTTTTTTATTTTTAGCTTTAAATCATGTTATAATGTTATTCCCTTATACACGTTTGAGAAATCCTTTATTCTCCTGTAGTAACCCTAAAGTTGTGCTAAAATGAACATGTTGTTAAAAGGCTAGTAGAGGAGCC